AGTTTTGTGGTCTGGGCCAGAGAGTAACAGCTATGTTTTAAGACTGACCTCACCAAAACAAATAAATCTGCTTCCTCATTAGGGCTTCCAGTCTGCATTAAGCAGCAGGAAGCTAACGTATTTTTCTCTTTATTATACCTCAGCTGCAGTCTCACCGTATGAACCAGAAACTCTAGATCTTCAACTGAGATTTGGATCAATCCACTGTTTTCTTAAAATCAGTATCAGTTTATTTAGCCATAAAACACTAGACACATGGCTATGGAAATGATTTCTCTCTTGCATCAATTTCAGGGTGAATTTTAAGTTATTTAATGCAAATTATGCATATTGATTTTCTTCAGGTTCTTGTAGATCCTCAGAATAGGAACTAAGGATCAAGAATCGGAGAATATGGTTTCTAATGAAAAAGAGAATGATGTATGGATCCAACTTTCTTCTCTACAATGCTTGTTTCATTATTCAAGAAAACCATCTTAGAAAAGTACTTAAAAATCACATATTTTACACTTAAACTTTGCTAAATTTCGTATTGCAAGACATACAGGATAAATCAGCTCCAAATTAATGTCAAGATTTTAGAATCTGGTGCTTCTTACATGAGAAAAGCATGAATTCATTAACTGTTAGAAGTATCAATCTCTGGTCTATTCTAAGAAATCTCATCCAATCTTCATACTCCATTGTAAACGCTGTCCACTGTAAAGTACCTCAAGCTACTGCCTAAAATTATAACAAATCTGTATCAGCCTGCACCTTCAGAGTCAACATCGCGTCCTAACATACTGCCTCAGAATTGGCAGCAACAGTACAAGAGAAAAATCAACTTCCTCCCACCACCCACTGATATCAACCCACAGTCTCTGCCTGCCTACCTACCAGACAGTCTCCTCTGCAAGTAACCAGTTGAGAACTGATGACATCCGAGCTGTTCTGACAGCAGTTACCTGAGGACAGCAGTGGCTGAAGTGTATCTCATCACGGTGTGAGATACAGTGCTCCTGAATGCATCTGGTTTATTCTTAGATATGTAGTTCAGATGCATATTTATTTTCTTGTGTATACACTTAGGAGAAACAGAATGATTCATCACTGTAAAAAAAATCCAAATGGGGTCACTCAGTGGGTCCTGCACAAAGCACTGAAAAGACCGAGGTACTGCTGATGGTACAACTTCATGAACCCACTGCTTCAGTTTGCAAAGCTTTACAGCCACACTAATGCAGGTGAGAAAACACATTATGACTTGACATAACTGGTCAACATGTAGATTAATTTCAATTTCAGTAAGTAAAGAGCAGGTAGAAGAAGAATCAAAGAGCCATAATAAAATTTATATGAGAGGAAAATGAAACAAAACTACTATCCTAAGGAGGTCAGAAGAGGACAAGAGACAGACAAATAGGCAGAGAGAGAGAGAGAGTGTGTGTGCTTCAGACACAGACAGAGTTAAGAGAGACAGAGAAGCCAGTTCAGCAGTGAAACATCTGAACATAGGAAGGAAGCTGGGTTTGATCCAAGCAAAGACTGGAAGGCTCTAAGAGGTACCGAGCATAAGCCAGCACCCCCAGATGCCTCTCTGCTAGCTAAGTGAATATAAAAATAAACAGTTTCCAAGGATCAGAGCGCAGGTATTATTTCAACTGACATTAAGTCTTTGCTTAGTGTACTGTCCTCTCTTGTCACGGCTATGTGGCAGTGAATTGCAAGGTTATGGTGGAGAGAGAGGAGAAATACATCATGCTATGTGCAGCACATCAATAGGGGCACTCATCCTCTGGTGCCACACAATTTCCCCTTCTACAACATAATGTCTTGTAGGAGACTGTCTCACTAAACACATCCCAGAGCTCAATAAGCAGTTGTGCAGAAGGAAGAGTCTGTTTGGAGATTTCTTTGGGAACAGATGGCTTTAAGGCAAAAAACCAAGAAGGCTGCTCTGTCAGGGGTGGCTCTGGAGGAGAGACTCTCCTATGAGGAGGGGACAGCTTGCTGAAGAAGCCAGCCAGAAGGCTTTGGTGGGTGACAGGACTGCCAGCAGCACTCGTCGCTCTCCCCGATGGAGAGGGGCCATCTAGTCCCAACCCTGCTCAGTTCTGTTAATGACCTTTCCTCTGCCTCCTCAGTAAGCCAAATCCAATTAGACGTATTTGCAAACCTATCTCCAGGCAACTGCGCACTATTTAATCCTACACATTTACCAACAGTTCTAAGCCAAATGCTCATGGGCATGAACAAGTGAAACCTGGAATACCTTTTCTGATGCTCACAATTTGCCTACAAGTGCCGTTTGAATTAGCATTTTTATAATTTATGCACACAAGCTGAACAACATTTTCAAAAGACTGACTCTCAGTTGATACAGGTATGACTCGGTTTACACAGATGTATCTGCACATAACTCTGACTTCAGCAACATTATCTTGATAGACTTTGCACCTAATAGTTATAAACATCACTGTACAGGACTGGTAGCATAGTGTCCAGAAGGAATCAAGCAATTTGAGTTCCAGTTATGGCACTTCTCTATCAGTGTTTCACTTTTTCTTTTCCAACTTATGCTATTCCTTGGTATGTAGCATTCAACATTTGTTTCCAAAGGAACATTTCTCATAAAATTATATAACACCCCCCACCCCCC